TGATTGTTATAATAATTATTATCAAGTCATTATTATTCTAATCGCAAGCGACGGATGCGACTATCGCTCATTACAGTTAAATAGAACTTAGACCTTTAATCAAAGATGAACGGCAGAAAGATGTTCTGTTATTGATTCTAGAAGATTCATTAAATACAGTGACTAGGCTTCTAATGTGAAATGGAGTAGATCAATCGATTGTCAAAAATGAATAAAATTGTGCCAGATCTTTGGTTTGCAACAAATAGGCTTTTAGACCAAAACTGTACATTTCAGAAATTTGGTAGCTAGTGGTAAAAAATGCTTTAATTAACTCATTAAGTAAAAACGAGGTTGTCACTAATAAAAGAGCCGCTGTAACAGGAACTAATTGATCTCCGATCGTGTTCAACCGTGATAGGTAATTGAAGGTCCAAATGGACCAAAAGAAGCCGCGGAATTTCGAAACGAGGTCCAAAATTAATCTAATAAACGGAAGCATTGGCTATGGGGTATTGCAACAAAATTACCAATAAACAAAAAGATTAGCAATCAATTGACAGGTCCGTTTCACCATCTGGTTGGCCATAATTCGGTTAAAACTGGAACGTTCCATTGTAATGAAAGATGTGATGAAAACATAACCAAGTTTACATAATGTAAACTTGCATTTGGAGTATTAAGTTATGAATGAAATTGAATAAAATGAACTATGTAACTGTAAACGTCCATTCAGAAAATGGTCGATGAAACATCAAAATGGGCCGCAGATAACTTTAAGATAAAACATGGAACTATCTATTGAATCTAGGTATGGCAATTTGGAAACACTATCTCAAAATGGAGACACGGAAATTAATCTATTTAGGACATAGATTGAAACAAAGAAACTAGACTACACGCATCAGATTTGCGACGCAATATAAAGAGAAAATAATAATAAAGAGACCTAAAATAGAATTTTTCTTAAGAACCTATTTACTCATGTAATAGTTGTAGAATGACTGGTGTTTAAAATGCTAACAGTTGTAAAAAAATATTATTATATTGTGACATTCTTTGTTTTTAACTTCTATCCTCTTGTTTTTAAGATACGGATATCAAACTTCAGATGATGGTAATGATGAGTCGTGGATTCTAAATTATTACCCCAAAAGTTAACATTTCCACAATTTTGTTAGTTTTTGAAATCTCATAATAACTATTGTGAGACATAGTGAAGTAATCAAAAATATCGGTTTACTACTAGTTTCGAGTCACAGAGGGACTCTTCCTCATGAGCAGTGAGTGCGGTGTTTCTCGGAGTATTGCCGTAAACCGTTTATTAAGCTAATTCTGTAAATATGAGTCATTATAGAAACACGTACTTTCTTCCTTTCTTTTCTTTCTTTACTAAGAAAAACACTGATGATATGAAGTTACATATTCTATCGCCAGGTGATAGTCCATTGTCAACCTTTATGTCAACGACCGTGGAATGCGTTACCTGTCCAACGCATCTTTATTGCAGTATCATTCTTTGAATTATGGCGCGCGGCATTCAAATGCAATATGTATAATTAGTATCTACGTTTTGAAGTATGGTGCAGTTATGTATACTGCGCGATGCTTGATGGCTCCTTCAGAAATCAAACTGGATTTGGCTAGTCATCTTCGAGCTCATGCAAGATAATAGACAACTTATCATCGTTGGATACGTTCAGAAAGACATTATCAACATGTTTTAATGGATGGCAGTACACGTTGTAGATGTTGTGAACCTAACCAAAACTTTTTTTATTTAATTGTCTTCTACGGTTCTTATGGACCATTTTTTTAATGGGACAAGCTTTCACAGCCTTCCTATACCGCTGCAACTCCTGTTAGCCAGGATCTACAGTAGATACAACCATGAAAACACCGGAACACTGAAGTCCGGCGCGTCTCAGGGACATGAGTAACTGTCTTGGTTCCCGCAACGAAGTGAATCAGAAGATATTATAAAAGAAACGATGGTTTCCACTTCCCTCGGTGAATTACTGCAGGAGACAGAATGAATTAAGCCTAAAGGTACAAAAAAGAGACTGTACAACTGGGTGAAGCCCAGTCGCCAAGCACCACGGAAATTTAACTAAAAACTAAGTGGGTCCTATGTGTGAGCTGTTATACTTGCTTCCAATAATAGGTATTCTTATGGACCAGTGGATCAACTATATTTTAAATAACTACCATTATTTCCTATATCTTTCCCCCTAGGTAAAACATTTACCTAGATGAAAAGAATTGAACTACAATTAGTATGGTCACAATTCAATTTCCCATCGTGAACAATTGGTATGGGTATGCCAATTTGCCATATACTAAAACAAAGGACCATTTTATTTGGTGTGAACTATGGGGGAATCATTATTTAAGTTCACATAATAATACAAAGCATTTATAAAACGACTCATTTCATTGTTCCCATTATTTAAACTGAACTAATTACGAGTATAGCATTTTTCTAAATCTTCCTCAAAAGTCACGTATTTGTTGATTGCATTATTATTTGTAGGTAATTGTAATAGATCAGTACAGTTAGTCATATTTTGTGATTGATTTGTTATTTTGAAGGACACCTAGTTCGACTGTCAAGCAAAGGGTTCTATTTGCCAATATGTAGGTACAGATATATTTATATTCGCCGTTCCATGGACAAAATTTTGTTTGTCTACGCAAAATGCAAGCATTTGTCCTACAAATGTCAATTGACGACAGCGTGCACAGTATGAGGTGCAGCTTACTTAGATAACATGACTACTTTGAATCTGGTATTGTGCCTGGCCATATGCTTACTCCCATAAGACTCTAAACACAAATGGGTGTTACTAAATTCCTCCTCTGTTTACTAATCAAGAAGTAATATAGAATGTATGTAAGAAGTAGGTATGTATGACGTACCGTTCCCCTAACAACTACTTTATCACAATTAATATGTAATAATACGTTGTTTTGACGTTCCGGGTTATCAATTGACCTGAACGGTATAGATTCATGATAGTTACGAATTTATTTAATTAACTTTGCTCGTGTGTTTATGATGTTTTCGCAATGTTGGTATCGTTGGATAATATTGTTTATTACATATTGTTTTCAATATTTTTTCATAGGTGATAAAGTTTTAAGATAAACTCTTTTGTTTAGTATTTGTAAATGTGATAGAAGTTTAAATTATGGGTCTGATGTTCAGGATAAGACATGAAATCGAATTGCACGTTTATCATCAACATTATCAAGGAGTTCTAGACAATACACCGTTGGACTATGGACCTTCTCTAAATAAGAGAATCCGCAAACTGCATGACAAACGTGGAGATTAAAGCTCTTAAGAAGGAAGTTTTTGTTTAGCAGTGGACGTTCCAGTAGATGGTAGTTCCTAGTACACTTATCTAGTACACTTATCTAGTACTTAGTCAGATCTAGACTTTAATCTAAGCCGCAATAAGGACGTGAACAACGGTGCATTGTTAATATTTTTTTTAGCAAAACTAACTGTTTCCTTTTAGCAGTAGTTACTGTTCAAAAGGAAGTTAATACTGATTACAATGAAACCGGTTTATAGGTCAGTTTTTAACAAATTGTTTTGTAGTTATAAAAACAGTTATTTAAGGATTTCTGGCGATGCGGAATTTAAGGGTTAATTTTCCCTTTTTAGGAACATTGTTAGACGCTTTTATGTATTTTGACTCCGACTTAATATATTTCTCAAGATCAGTGACATAAAACGGACACCAAACTAGAAGTATGTAATTTGATACCTTATAAAATCAGAATGTATCCGCGAATTAAGATACCTTAGGTCTTATGACTCTTCTATCGGTCCCTCATCATAGTTACGATTCAAAGATACCTATACCGATACCATTGTAAATAATATTTTTATGGCAAACTGGACCAGTGCCTTAACTGCTTAAAGAAATTGGGTCATTCATTTACGTCAATGAATTTACAACAAGATACTGAATGATTTTTGTAATGACAAAAAATTAGACTACTTACGATAAAAAGTAAACAAGTAATCGCTTCCTTATTTACCATTGAGCGTCTGAATTGCGCTAATTTATTCATTAAAGGATTTTTAACAAGAAATCTAGGCAGCAGTATGACAGCTGTACCTATCTACATATCTAGATGGTTGAATGAATAAAGTATAGATTATATTATACATATAAAGGTGAACATTCCGTTGAGAAATAACTTGGAATAGGTATTGTACTCAACTTGTCGACACACAGAGTTATTACGATGTCGACCAGTTCATACATAATAGGAAAAAATATACACAGGGAATGCATGGAAATTGTATGACAAAGGCAACCTGAGTCCGTAGAGATCCAACAATATAATTATGTATTAATTAATAACAATATATAATGTACTAATGTACCTAAGTAACAAACGACAGAAGAATGTATTGTATGGTTTATTGAACTACCCCCTACTAAGATGGTTAGCCCCAGCCAATGGGTTGCTTACCAATCTTCTGCACAAAGCAATTCATATCTTATTCTATTAGGTATATTTACTGATAGATATTTTTTTTTTTTTTTTTTTTTTTTTTTTTTTTT